ACATCACGACAGGTCTGATTTTCTTCAGGATCTTATCTGTTCTTGGAAGAAGACAAACCATAAACATTTTAAATTTTAGCCTCAATATTAATCACACCGGTGCAGTAATTATAATATACTGGACAGTATACAAAACGAACTCCTGTGTGATTCAGCAAATTATAACAAGAAAGTGACCAAATTAATTGTACACAACTTCTCTGAAGAACAGTTCATCATAGAGTCCCTTAATTTCAAGAAAGCCGGAGGTAAATATGTATTCACAAAAGCCCTTTACTGGACCGTAAACTGTGTCAGACAAATCCAGTTCACATCTTCAAAGACTGTCCTTGAAATGTGGTACTAGGGGCCTATACTAATATTTAATAAGTCAGAACTTATCGTGGTCCGGATGGACGAGTATGAGTAAATCAGTGTTTAACATTAAGCTTAAATGGAACTTCCGCTTTCTGAAAAATGTCTCAGTGTGTAACAAGTTAGAATATTTTAAGCATCGCGTAATAATTCCGGCGCGCTAGCCAAAATGTGAACTTTGACCTTTCCAAATGGCGTCCCAAGTAACTTGAACCAATTACCTTTCCGAGTTCTGGATGTCCGATGTCTGTTTGGCTCGGGAGTAACGTTATGGTGCATTCCTACTCGGGGATTCCCCACAAATCATTTACGGGCGTACAAACGTAGAGATGCAAGTCTACGTGTGAAGTACACAACACGATTTTAACCACAATTCGATACTGTCAACAAATCTGGAAAAAAAAACCAATATCTCGAAATGTCTCATTTCGTGAAAATCTGTTCAGCGGCTCTACAGATGTTATGTGAAGAAATATGGACAGGAAGAATACGTGTCTTTACTAAAAGAGGCAATTTTAACTTTTGGATGCGAACGAGTCTAAACATTTTAAGCTACATAAAATGCATCTAATTAATATATGTAACGCAACAGCATTCAACGAAATAAAATTAAAACTAAATCACAATTTTCTACAGTATAATATTTCTATGTATGCCTTGTGTATAAAAAATTAATATCAAGTCCATTCGTATATAAAAAATAATTTAGAACGCAACTCCATGCTTCTTAACTCACATATGAAGCTCTTGTTATTCAATATAAGACAGTTATGCCAATGTTCCACGGAAGTGTCGTTAGTAAGTCGGGAAAGAGATTGTTTCGGGTGTTTTTAGCTGGAACAAGTGCACATATCGGAAAGCCCACTTAAAGTAAGCCATTAGAAGGACACAGACAGGCAGCAGCTAGTGGCGGGAGGTGGGATGGGGGATGATGTTGGAACCCGAGTCAATTCAGTGCGACAAAGGGGTTGCATAATATATCAAGTATAGGAGCTGACTGAAATGTTACCAAAACGCGAATAACAAAATCATTAGTACTAAAGATAAACCCTAAAAGAATTGTACACCTTGTAGTCAGGTGTAGTAACAGGTCTAAATCACAGAAAAGTAATGTACCCGAACAGGTGATATAGTGTCATAAATTACCTAAACAATGACCTTAATGCAGAACAGTAATTACTGAAAAGTTTATAGTCGCCCAAATGATCAAGAAAATCCTCGCCTTCATGAAACCGAAAGGTTCACTACCGTGTTGACAGCAGTGTGTAAACGTACCATATTATTGCCAATTTAATCCATTTCACGCCTTTACATCCAATTTCGTTAAGATCCGTTTTAATAATATCCTATCAACTACTCCCAAGTCTCCCTGGTGTCTCTTCCCTTCAGGGTTTTCCAGCTAAAATCTTGTCTGCATTTCTCATCTTCCCAAAGCGTGGTTGCCGTCGTAAGTCCCTCCTGGTGTAATTCAGCCTTGTTTTAATTCCTGAACTACTTACTCCTCTTTTACTAAGTTCAAAACTAAAATATAACAAGATACAGTGTCATATTTTGGCCGATATATTAAGGAAAGTAACATAAATAATGTAATTTTTTCCGCCGTTGTTAAGAACGCAAGAGTACTGTTACACAAGTCTTAATACCATACTTGTTTCTAAACAGATTCCCAGAGAATGTTTATCAGCAAAGAAATAACAGCCAATGACTACTAATTTGGAACAGAATATTCACATGTTTTACATAAATACAGGCTAATTATATTTTTCACGTTTAAACAAAACAACGAACGCAAATATAAAATTATGTATTCAAAGTATGGCAAGATGACAATAGCTCGACGCCATCTTACTTGTAATTTTATGTCGATATATGCCTCTTTCTTCACGCACAGCGGAGAAGTGGTAGCTCGTTGGAGTGCAAGAACGACGCAAGTCGCTTCCAGTAAGGCGGGTTGAGTGACTACAGTGAGGAATTTTGCATGCAGACAGCTACAGATCACACAGAACAGTGGTCTCGTTGCAATTTCTTTTTCAACAACTACATTATATTCAGGAATTGATGATACCTCCAATCAGAGCTCATTGCTGCCCGCCTCAAAGCAGCAATGGCCGACAGTCACATGCCTACCTGGCGCGTTTGCCATTTGTTCTGTTTGTTAGTGAATCACCTAACATTTCTTTCCGTTGTTATTCTACTGGAAAGTGCTCTGACCGTTACAAGGTTGCGACCCCACGCGTCCGCATTTGCAGTTCAGCGGACAACAGGATTACATTTTTCCGTCCTAGCTGGGGCAAGTTACGTCACATGCAGGCCGGCCTAAGGATCACTAAATTGCGAAGCTACAATAACTTCATGGAGCAGAACTCCTTGAGAGGCGAAAAGTCGCTCGGTGGTCAAGGAACTCCCCGCAATTGTGAAATCCGAATGTTTATTACCGTACGCATAAGAGCCTGTCGCCAGTCCTTACCATAAGCCTATTATTATATTTGTTATTACACGCAACAAGAAGTTGGAAATTATTAAACTGAAGATCGTGACAAAGAAAGGGCACCGTTAATGTGGAGCTTAGGGAAATGAGTTGTCAGAATCGAAGGCAAACTGACCTCGTTCAAGGTCGTGTTTATTGGTGATAGTTGTGCCGAATTCGACAGTACGTAGGACAAACTGTCCTTCAGAAGCACGAAACCATTCATTCTCGGAAGTCAACAGGAAGTTAAGTTCAATTATGAGTCATCTGATACAGTATAAACAACTGCACTTACTAGCAACGTATTATCTTAACTATAATTGGGCAATATTTTAAGCACCATAATATTATTACAATTTTCCAGTAAAAGTAGTTAACAGTCATATATCTAAACTTCATTTTGCCACCCATAAAATTACTAATCTCTTTTCCAGCTGATAGATAAGTTATGTTCCTCAGAAAATTCAAGACTTGTGGGTATCTAGACATGTTGGGGAAATATAGATAATGCTAATGAACACCTTACTAATGAAAGCAACACTTTTAAACTACGTACAATTGCACAATTGCTTACTTATTGATTATATATCAAGTTATAAATATAATAAATCATGAGGTTATATCTTGAGACAAATCGGGATGTAGTTAAAGTCATATTGTGTGGAAATGTTTTCTCCAGACAATACAGCGATACACCGTTTGCAGTTATCAGACAGAATTGTAAGGCTCTGCAGGATGGAAGCAACGACGACTTTGCGGTTAGGTGCATAAATACTAGACCATTCATAATGACGATTCTTTATGTGTTTCGATGCAAACGAAATGTAACGAAGTTCCACATCCGCTATTTGTTGAAAACACTGCTACGGTTTTGCTGAAAGAGAACTTCAGAATATTGGATGATCTTACTATAGAAAGCACGGTTGTTAAAAGGCAATTTTTCTTGTATATTATTACATATTCGTAATAAATACTGCTGGCAGATAACAATGACAATGAAATCATTCCTCAAATTAATATAATATTAAATTTGTTAGAATGTTATTTTAATTTCTCACAGTTTTGTTTCCAAATATTTCAACTCCGCCAAATTTTCTAATTATTTATGAGATCTACTATAATATTATGACATTATCCTGCACAATGGTGACGACAAACAAAGGTACGTGCAGTGTTGCCTCTGTTTACGCCTTACTGGCATCTAATAAAGCACCTGTATGACCTGTTCCCTTTTTCATTAATTTACGCATATGAGAAAAATTTGGGGGTCGTCACATTCTATCGGAGATCGGAAGCAGATACAAGACATCTGAGATACTGGGCCAAGAATTAACTTTGCTGAGGAACTGTTGCTCCCTGTGGCTGTAGGCCTTTGTCAACAGACAACAGGACCTTGCTTTATGATGCCAGGCTGCTCACTGTTGGCATCAAGTATCTTGCATATTAACAGGGAAGTAAGTCGTTATAATTACATGTCAAAGTATTTCTAGACATAAGAAGACGGAGATTCATAACCTCATATTTTCTCTCCTTGACCAAATGGCACATAAATCACAATGTATAATTTTAATGAATAAATGTTATAACAATATTCTTACAGTCAAACTTTGTAAGAATGCCGCATCCTTGATGTACTGTACTTGAATGTTGATCCTGAGTTATTGAAACGACAGTGCGACGTAAAAATCGAAACTTTCACTCTTTGAAAAAAAATCCCCTCGCTCAAGAGTCACGTTGAACTGTACAGAAGGAGCCTGCGTTACTTGTGCCACTCCTGCCGTTATGGCATCATGCTGCCCGGTATTAAAAATGTATATAATCGATTCCTGGCAAAAAGAGGAGGAGCTTCATCTCGAACAAACCAATGAAAACTGTTATCCACATGACGAAGAACCACAAAGCCCCGCCCGCCTTTTACGAAAGGATTTTTGTTGTTGTTAGGGTGGGAGTAAGATTACCAGTCCTGTAATCTTCTTTTTGTTGAAGAACTAGTTTGTAAAAAAAAAGAAAAGAAAAGAAATAATTTATTTCATCTTTTTTGTTTTGCATATGTTTATTTTTGTTTTCCTCTCTTTCTCTCTCAGAATATAACTTTCTTCTTCTCCCTTCCCCACTATCCCTGCGTTCCGCAACCCCGGCGTGGTTCTTGCCCTTGCTCGGAAACCATCTCTAGTCCGTCCCAGGTCGCCCGCCACTGCAGACTGAAGTTATGTGAATCGCTCATCGTAACCAGTTTTCCTACTCACCCGGTCTTTCTCTCCAGCTTCAACACATTTTTTAAAATAAATATTCAGTCTATTGTATGACTAGAAGACCCGGCGCTTTTAAACGTGTCTGTGACGTCGACGAGAAGTCAGTGCCATTACCGCAACCTCGTAATAAAGGGAACACACGAAGCGGAGACTCGCAGGTGAAATACACTGAGCAATGGACTAGAACTACTTCACAGTGCCACTCTGTAAGTTGATCTCCTTCATATTTCTGATAAATTATTTTCTGCGTTAATTTTCAGTGTGTGGTGTAAATTAACATTAACTGTTATGAAGTATATAGAGAGCGAATTGTTTGTCTACGCTTATGCATGCAATAGTATACGAGAAGATGTTGCTGTAATTTCGAAGTTTCTCACAGAACAGTTATTATTATTATTACTACAAAAAGTCGTTAAAATGGAACGTGGATGCAGCGGGAGACGCAAAAACTCGTACTAGTTGAGATATGTTTCCGAACCTAAAATAAATCTGTGAAATAGTTAGACCTGTATGATGGAACACTTCTTGCAGATTACATTCATCAGGCTATACACTTACTTCCTTTACGTCCTGAATAAGACAGGCTCCAGGGACGCCAACATCTTAATTTCATAGATAAATTGTACGATAAGATTGTCACAGAAGAGGACTATTCACAACACATAAACACGACCATCGTAGGTTGTAAAAATAATTTAAATTCGTCATATTGGCGCAAAGAGCTGTTTAAAACAAAAACATCATAATAATTATCTAAAGGCAATTACAATGATTTATTTATTAGGGCTATACAAAAAAATAAGTTGGACCTTGTTTATTATGAGGCATATAAACAATGTTTTGACGTATATCAAACTCCCGAAACGTCGTATATATACACAAACCTCGTACACTGAGTAATTTTAAGTCTAAAATTAATTGATATTTCAACTATTCCCTCTCATTCTGCTTTTTGATTACATATAAGATGATGTAACAACCGGCAAGATTTTCTTATGTTTACTTACTTATCTGCATGGGAAAGTCCCTCAATATTTATTTAAATCAATTCACTAGTTTAATCAGTTTCAGATTAAATCTGTTATTATAGAACCAGATTTAAGTAGCCGATATGACTTTCATATAAAGGAAACAGTAGGCCTATTATAGTGGAGTCAAAGTAAACTTATCTGTGAACTAAGACAGGACTGTAGAGTGCAGTCATCCGATAGCTATTTGCATTCACAAACTCCATTCAAATGAATTTCGACCTCACCCGATTGTAAAAGGTTTGTGCTATGCTGCTTCTAATAAAAACAAATGCTAAACACAATTACTTTTCTTTCCAACATACCACTGTGCACGTATAACAATAATTTATTTATGACATATAATCTGCGATCACAGAAATGCAAATGCTGGGACAGGACAAATTTCTCAGGTGTCCAGTCGGTCTTCGTCCTTCTTGGAATACTCACCACGGTGCAATATGTGTGTAATGTTGTGCTGCATTTCAATTACATTGCCGACAAAACCATAAATTAATAAGGACATGTATGATTTGAGATTTTCACAGCGGTGTGTATGAAGATTTCTGTCTTCTGGTTTGTTGCGCTGTGTAGTCTGGTAGATACCAATTGACAGATTCATCGCCCTGATGACGGAGACAGTATGACCTCTGAAACGTTGGTAAACATCTACCAGACTACACAGCGCAACAACCCAGAAGACAGAAGTCTTAATAAGGACATCTTGCTCACTCTGTTACAATTCATTCAAACTTAGCCTCACAAAAACAAAACATTGGAATTAATCTGCAGAGTGACAGGCTATTTTCTCTTAATTGGCATTGATACACGCACACAAAGAATGTCTGTTGTTAAAGAGCGTTCGTGTCTGTACAATTTATGAGTTTGTTTAATCTTTATGGAAGTAAAAACCAAAATAAATATTGCATTTATATAATACAGCAGGCCTACAGGTTGGTGTGAAAGCTAACTGCAAGTAACTGAAAGATTATGTATTAAATCTACAGGAACTCAGCATGCCCGCTCATTTTGCTTTTATATTAAAAATGTAGTAATATTTTTTTTTCCTTATTATCACAATTAATTCCGCATGTCTCTCCGTCTGTCAATGCCATGTATCACACAGACTATTGTTTATAGTACAGAACCCGATCTTCCAGTGTTTCCTTAAATTTGCTCATCTGATTATATGATAATATTATTACAATTGTACTTACAAACAAGTGCTACACCACTTCAACAAAGTTCAAGCCTACGACACAGCAAATCCCAAATACGGGGGTTGTCCTTAAAAACAAATTAGAAACTGCTCAGTGTACAACAGTATTAGTAAACGGATGCACACAGTGTGTGCTGTAAGCAGTGAACATACACTATGAATTCTTTTATATAAACAAAGAGGAAGAAAAACCAAGTGTGTTTAATGTAACAACGACATGACTCTAAAAAAATAGGTAATACATTAAATGTCTCGGAAATTCTGGTTCGTTTTTTAGCTGGGATAAACAAGCAAAAAGAAATTCTTGAAATAATGTACTTGTATTCAGACTGTGTGGGAAAACATCCTTTGAATTACGCTTTTTTTAGCTATTACAACAGCAACGTTGAAAAATTAATTTCATAATTTTGAATTATCTCATCAATTATTAAATACAATTTCTTATTTATCCTTAAATACTTTGAATAATTTAATTACCAATAAGGCGTAATTTGGGATTGAAAAAGACTTTAATATAGGCCTAAAATGAATTATTTATAAAAGTAAAATGATTCACTACGTTTTGGGGAATAGGTTAAATACCATTGCAGGATTAAAGATTTAGTATCCAGCTAAGGGAATGGATTAAATACAACGATTATGTTGTGAAGGAAAGAAGGCATACAAGTTACAATGTCAGGCTAGAGATTAGACACTCCGGTAAAAGTTCGTAAAGACGAAACAGAGAATTTATTCTAGACTAAGTGTATTTAAGCTGATTCATAATGTTCTAGTTTACGGAAATAGAAGAAGCAAATATGCTGAGTTAGAAAGATAGAGAGTTTTAAATATTCGAAGAATTGTGTTCTTAGGGAAATATTTTGATCTAAGACGGATGAAATTATAAGGAAGAGCTGAAAAATCTGCAAAATGCGAAGTTCCTTAGGTTTTACTCTTCACCATGATTTATTAAGATGAACAAATCAAAGAGATTGAGATTGGTGAAGCATATAGCGCGCATGGGGATATGAGAAATGCGTGCAACCTTTTGATTGAAAAGCCTGAAAGGAAGAGACCAGTCAACAGACTAAGGAGTAGATGGGAGGATAATATTAAAACATAATTTAGGTAAATAAGATTCAGGTGTGGATTAGATTCATCTGGAACCGGACCTAAGTTCAGGGACTTAGCCTAGCCTGTCTCCCCCCATAATTACTTCTTCGACTACGAATTTCTCTAAAAAGTCTGTAGATCATCATAATCATAATCAGCCTTCCACGTTTTAGCCCCAGTGGCCTCTTAGGTCTCATGCCAGCGTTCATAGCTATCCACATTTTGTTGGTAACGGAAAAATTTGGAATGTTATTATTGTTCCGGCATTTGTAGAACAAGATTTCTTCCAGTTAGCTCTGTCAGTATTTTTACGAATTTCGTGACTGGCTGTGCATTTAATCACTTCAAATCAAATTTGTTTCATGGTCCAAACATGAAGGCCTATAGCCTCCTATTCTACTCATGAATTTCATTTCTGCTGCCGTAATTCTGCTTTCATATAATTTGTGTTAGTAATACAACAGTAATAATATTTTGGGCTAATAATAAGAAGAAGAAAAAGAAGAAGGAAGCGGAGAAGATCTTGAAATACAAGGACCTTCTCATTGAAATACAGCGAATGTGGAAAGTGAAAGCGAAAATAATTCCAATAATTATAGGAGCAACTGGAACTGTCTCCAAGTCACTTAGAAAATATTTGGCCAACATTCCGGTCAAACACAACATCAGGGAACTGCAGAAAACTGCCATTTTGGGTTCTTCTTACATCATTCGAAAGACGCTGTCATAAAATATGTAGTCATCTCTAATAATAAAACTATATAGTACAGGTAACATGTATTAAAAACAAAATGTATTTCGGAAATAGCTGCTGCACTATGTACCTTAGGGACAAGGTCTGTCTCGGGTACATGGAAGTACATACCCCATAAAGTGGTGAATAGATGGGATAATAATAATAATAAATTGAATTAATTAGTTTATTTTTATAATATCAGTGGTTTATAAAATGGATAGTACGAAAGCACTTAACTCTGTCAATTAGATAACAAATTTAATAACAAGCACCGAATAATACAACAAGGTTAATTTAACTTGAGCCACACAAAAATAAACATTTCCTAAATACGTCAATCGCCAAATAGAAACAATATGACACACGACTATTTGAAGGGGAAAAAAACAGTTATCTTCGAAAGTTGTCAAAATTAAAATAACGACCCAATATCAAAGCGGATAACCAGCGCACCAGCTGTCGTGTCGAGTAACTGCTAACATCCTAATGAACATCTGTACATTACATGCTGGTAGTGCACTGATAAGCGCAATGTAACGGTAACGGTCACTGTTTTAGTGACACTAAAATTCTCATCGCCTTTGCCCGCTACGCTGTTCTGTCGTTAGAAGACTGTGGTAGTGCGACGGTGTCAAAGCGAAAAGCTGAAAACGGGCAATAATTCTAGTTATCAGGTTTTAACCGGGTCTTGCAATACAGTAATATTATATGAATTATTCTGAAACACAAATGAACTACGTCTATCTAAGTATTATTGCGTAATAAATTCAGATTAGAACACAAGAATCTATGGTTTTACTTCTTGCTTTATAGGTGTGAAATTTTGTTTCTCCGATTAAGAAAGGAACACAGATTGAGGGTGTTTGTGAAAATGGTGCTCTGGATATTATTTGGACGCAACAGGGAGGAAATAACAGGAGTATGGCGGAAACTGTGGGATGAGGAAAATGTAATACGCATCGGATAGATTAGAATTAACTACAAAATTTTTGGTCTCAAAATGTGAAGGAGGGAGATACTGGGGAAAGATATGTGCACATGGGAGTGTAATATTAAAATTGATGATAAACAAACAGAGTTGGACAGCGTGTATCATATTAAAATGGAAAATTACGACAGATACATTTTCCACGAAACATGAAAGACACTTGC